CGCACTTCCTTCGAAGAAGTCACGAGCTCTAACGCGATAAACGGCGCAATAACAATTCTTGGATAAAATATTTTCTTACATGATTATTGTAACATTTACGAAATACTCATACACGTGTATAAAAATAAAGTCACAGATTATCGCTATATACAACAGGGGATGTTAGATTCTTCGCACTTATCCTCGTCGAAAGTTGGCTTAATGGGCTCCCATTTAAGATGGTAGAATGTAAAATCGATCGAAATTTAATTGGTGTTGAACTATGCAACGAGGTACAAACAATTTCAAATGAATTTTTGTGTTTTTCACACGTGTGTGCCACGGCTCGGCATAACTTGAAAAATCGACGTGATTGAGAATGGTGTAATTGAGAGAACGATTTTATTGTTGTTAAAATTCATATGAAAACCGCAATGATGCCAATTGTCGATTTTTCGTTTTTTTGTCAATCCGAATCGTTGCCGATAATAGCAAGCTTAACACAGACACGGATAATGCACAGTGCGCTGCGTCTTTCACTCGATTCAATGCGCAATTGCGATGTGACACAAAACAGGTCCAGTAGCCGTATTCGAGCAGCGTACTATTGAGACCGATGTTAATAAATCCTGAACGTTCCTCGTCGTTTTATGTATCTACTTATATACGACAAGCTACACTCTTTAAGAGCACCGGCAACTGCTCTGGAGTCCTTTCTAAGTTTGCACTCGCTAATTATTCCTTTTTTATGTTATCAATATTTGACAGTTATTATGCAGGGTGCACGATTTATCTGAAGACATTGAAATATCTCGAGAACTATGCATTGGATAAAAAAAAGTGGTTAATGAAAGTTGTTAGTCTCAAAGGAGGACATCCAATGATACCAAACTCGACCTCCCACCCCACCTCCTGGGGGTGGGGGTTGGGGAAACTTTGAAATCTTAAATGGAAACTCACATTTTTTATTGCAGATACGGATTTTACGCTACAAAATACGTAAATTTTGTCCGAAACTTTTTTTTTGATTCGTGATAGATGGCGCTTTAATCGCAAAAAATTATATTTTCCGCAATTCTCCAGAAATGATCATTGGATTGAAAAATAAAAAATACCTGTTCAATATTTTTAAAGAACATAATAAAAGTTATTAAAAAGATAAGGTTTATTAACCTAACCTAAAAGATAAGGTTTATCAACAAGTGCCAACAACTCGTGAAAACATGGTAGAACGCATAAGAAACGCTTGCGCTGAAACTCCCGCAGATATGCTTCTATCCTGTGTATAGTCATATGAAAAAAGGATCAATAAGTATATTGAAGTTGAAGGTAAAAATTTCGAACACTTACTCTAATTAATTGAACAGTGAGAGGCAAGGGGACTCACATTAAAAAAGCACTCCGATCTGTGAGAGGCAAGGGGGCTCACATTAAAAAAGCACCCGAAGGGAACATAAAACTACTACGTCTTCGTCGTTGTTCTTGTGTAACGCTAAAAGTAGTTTCTCGGAAAAATTCAACGCTATCTATCACGAATGAAAAAAGTTGTTTCAATAAAAATTTCACGTACAATCTAATTCTGCAATGAAAAATGTGGGTCCCCCATTTGAGATTTGAACGTTATCACCCACCCTACCCCGAGAGGATGGGGGGGGAATAACTTTTATTATGTTCTTTAAAAATATTGAACAGGTATTTTTTATTTCTCAATCCAATGATCATTTCTGGAGAATTGCGGAAAATATAATTTTTTGCGATTATAGCACCATCTATCACGAATCAAAAAAAAAGTTTTGGACAAAATTTACGTATTTTGTGGCGTAGAATCTGTATCTGTAATTAAAAATGGGGGTTTCCATTTAAGATTTCAAAGTTGCCCCCAACCCCCGCTCCCAGGGGGTGGGGTGGGAGGTCGAGTTTGGTATCATTGGATGTCCCCCTTCGAGACTAACAACTTTCATTAACCACTTTTTTTTATCCAATGCATAGTTCTCGAGATATTTCAATGTCTTCAGATAAATCGTGCACCCTGTATATACATCACAAAGTGTGCAAACCGTGAATATATTTGACTTGATTAATAATGATTTGAGGCGCTTGGGTTTTCACTAGAGTGAAATAATAGCAGGCTAGTACAAACCGACATAGATTGAACATTGCGAGTGAAATTTCTTTTTAATTATTACTTCTAAGGATATTGTAGAAACGTTCGATTATCACAATGTAAAATTTTCAACAATGTAAATATTTTCTGCAATATCAGAGGCGATAATTAAACAGAATTCAATCCACCCACTGCGTTCGATTTGCGTCGGTTCTCATTAGTCTGTTATTTTTTCAACTATTTAATTTAAAAGGTAAAAATACCGCAAATGTGTGTGGCTATTAATAACCGTTGTAATATAATATAAATAGCACAGTTTCAAATATTTTTGTCTCTTGAATTAAACTGCTATATAGATAGGTATTTTTAATTTTATATGTTATTTTACTTATTATCTACATGTTATCTCGTACAGTTATCACGCAGTTATCGCACACCGACTTAAGCACTTTAAAGAAATACGAAGTTTTGAAACATGTTTACATATATTTCATATTGTTTTTATTAAAACTGTATAAATCATAGTTGTGGACTTTGTGGATTATTTATTGATATATGCCGAAAATTCGTACGAAAGCAAATAAAATATTTTCGTTTCTTCGCATCGATAAACTTTATGCACACTATATATGCAGCGTTACGCAAATGTTGTTTTCTCCATGATATTAATTGATTTTAATGTATGACGTTTCCTTGTCAAAAACAATTAAAATCTTATGATAAAGAAATCAAGTCTTTTTCATGAAGATATTCATCATACGCTATTTGTAATTTATTTGGATCGAGCTGTCGCAAATGCCGCATGAATTCGTAGAGCCTCCCTTTACATAATATTTATATATTCCGATATATTCGTAGAGAAAGAGGGGGAGAGAAGAGGAGGGAGGAAGTGAGCAAGAGAGAGACATCTCGACACGGGAAAGTTCCCGTATGCCAGATACATCCGCAATAGATAAGAAGCACAACAATAACCGTGCAGTTCAATCGAATTGATATTTACGTGCCGCGATTAATAGTGACACGTTTAAAATACACACGAATAAAATGTGAGCCTCTAAGGTTTGCGATCTACAAAGCATAAAACAAGGACAATATCCCGCGATTTTCGTTCCTCGGTCAGTGGTCGCGATAGCAAAGGAGACATGCGTATCACAGCGCAATCGACTAACGTTCGGGAAAGAAAGCGAGAACAGCAAAGAGAGAAAAAGAGTCATTGGAAATATCCCGACAACTGAACATGGGATCGGCGAAGTAGTACTCATTAATCGCTTGTTATCTCGTAATCACGTTGTCGAATGGAAGCATAATGACGTAGCACAAAGACAAATGTGATAGGCGATGTGAAAAGCAATATCGTGTCGGGCGAGAGGAATCGATCTTGCGGCTTTCTTCCGAAAGAGAGAAAGAGAGAGGGAGAGAGGGAGGGAAAGAGAGAGAGCTGATCTATATACGCTCAAGACGATAGATAGAGGGTTGTATATTCGAGACTGGTACCAGGCTTACCTAGACCCCAACAGATACGCGAGCGACCGCAAGGGTGAGGTTGCGCGACGTTTCGTAACGATCGACGACAAGGAACGCGGATCCGCGAATAAGGTAACGTTTACAAACGAGATAATACGGAGTAGCCCTGTGTGAGCACTCACCCTTGTCGAGAGTCTCTTTGGCCGCGTGTATAACCTTCCTGCGGCGGAGACCGTTGCCCGCTAAGGCGCTCGTCATCGCGTTGCCGCTGCCGAGAGTCGCACCGGTTGTCGATGCCGCCGCGGTCGTTCCGACATCGTCATCGTTCGCGCACTCGTCGGCAGCGGTGGCGGCGGCGGCGGCGGCGACGGTGGAGGTGACGGTGGTGGCAGCGGTGGCGGAGACGGTGGTGACGGCGGTGGTAGCGGCAGACGCACGATGGTGATGCTGACGATCGAGGAGATTGATCGGGGACCCCTCGCCACCTGGCATAATGTCCCGGACTGGCAGGGACCGTAGTCCTTAGCCGGAGGACCCTTGCGCCTCAACTGGACTGACGACTTCACTCTCGCCACGTCCTTCTTGGTCAACCCTCGCGCCCTTCTCACCCCTAATCGTCTGTTCTCTCCACCTTCGCGCGACTATGCGTATATATCGCCTGATATCCCCGCGGCCCCGCGTCTTTCGAATCCCCTGCTCCGGTGCGAATGTCATCTCACCGCGACGTGGCACCATCTGTACGAGCAGACTTCTACCCGCGTCGATCGATGACGGGGTGAAAGGGGGTAGCTTTCGTTCGGTGACGAAACTCATGATAAAACGTGGTCACAGGAGTAGTCACGGGAATGTTCCTAGAGCACCACGCCATTCGTATCCTCGAGGAGGGATTTAAACGGGCGGGAATCGCGAATCTCCCATGTTGCATCATGCGTAAAGGATCTTAAATAAAAGTCTCGATATTCCGGTATTCGATATCTAACAACGCAGGACCAAAATTGCTCAATTTTTATCAAAATGTAAACAATTTCGGGATTATGTAAATTTTATTACACGAAATGTATAATTGAGTTAAATTCGAGTATAAAAATCGTGATTAACGATTTGAAGGTAAAATTTTGCTGAAGGAATCAGGATTGTTAGTTCGCCATGTACAAATCTGAAATCAAGTTCGTCAAGCTCAAATCGACTGATCTTCTCTGTAACATATCTGCAACCATTTGACAACTCAAAAACTATTGAATTGAAGGTCTGTGTTATCCTTGACGAATAACGTCCGGTCCTGCAGACATCAATTAAATCTTAATTCAAGTGAAAACTTTATTCAGATAAAATCTCGGATTTTAATTGAAGTTGGTAGAAACGAGCATAAATCGTCAGAAAAGACTGAAACATTCTCCTTCGAAATGGGGAAAGCTGAGAAGATGGAATTAAGGAACGCGACTAAGCTTGCTCTTCCTCGCAAATCTTTATTAAAATACTTACACGTTTATAACTTACACGTATACTACACGGGGCGATGTATGTAATTAAATTAAATAGACTTAGCTCTCTATAGTCGAAAGCAATACGAAGCACACGCGGTTTCTATCCACGCGATACGTTCGCACTGACAGAACACGCGGCACGAACCTCCGTATTTCGATCTCGTTTGGAAAGGGCACCAGCACACACGCTCCCTCGGCATCTTCTTTATATAAGCGCGCGTCAGAGGACGATCGATTTGCCGCCAATAGCGTGAAATCTCCTTACCGGAAGGGGATAACCCTTCTTTCGAGTGATATCCTGTGGATATTTTTTTTCCCTTAATTCTCCCGACGCACTTTCCTCGTTACGTTACCTTGAACAATACCCAGCCGTGGTGAAACATCCCTCCTCTAAACGAGAGTACTCGGAGAACAGATTGATCAAACTTACGTCTACGTATGTACGATGTGTGCTAAGCGAAGACTCGGTGCGTAATCGTTTCGAACCGTTTTGAATCGTAATCCGCCTGATACTTTGGACGAAATATCGATATCTTCCACGGTGTAAAAATGGTACTTTCGGTCTCTGCGATTAGATAAGCGCGCAATGTTAAGTGATTGCAATTTCGACGATTGATGAATTTCGGCAGGAAATTTGCGACTGATAAGAGAACTGATTTCGATTGATAAGGGAAGAAACTCTAATCGGATGATACGAAATTCAATTTTTAAAAATCAATCTCCATTCAGTGAGATCCGGTTCGTTGGATTCTTGTTCGCATAATTCATTGCTTAATTTCTCCCTCGGCACTTTCGATGTGACTGTATCGCGCGTTAGTTCCGATTCTTCTCCTCATCTCGTGGCGTCCTCCATCTTCGGTCTCGTCATCACGCATCGACCCCTGTAACAGATCTCCGTCATGTGAGACACCTTGGTAGTGGTCGAGGTTCTCAAGACTTTGCCCAGCATCTTTATCGTAGAATTTACTTGATCCATGTTATCTATCGTTCGATTGAGCGACGTAGTTGGTTTCTCAGTGGACGTGGCGGTCATAGAACTGTTCGTCGTGGTGGTTTTCTCGGGTAGCATGTCCGCGTTCATGGTGGCGTTCAAGGTCATTGCGGTGTCCTCGAGTATCGTTACGCTCTCCCTCGTCGTCGTCTCCGTAGCGCTCTGTACTTCCGGAAAACTCGTCGCGTCCTCTTCAGGGTCGACACGCTGTGTCGTGTGAATGTCTCGCGAAGAATCAGTGGTCGTGACGGCCTTCGGAGTGCTCTTTTCGATCTCCTTCGCGTTTATCTCGCGCACCGAGGCGACATCGTTGAATCTGTAAGAATTTTCCGCAGGGATTTCGTCCACCTTCGCTTCAACCACCTTTGTGATCTCCTCCTCCTCCATCCCTTGGCCATCGGCACTTTTCATACTGTCGAAGATGGCAGCCACGTAGTCCGAGAGTGTTTTTACGCTGGTCTCGCCGTCGTTTCGCACGGTGTAGCCTGGGATGGACGTTGTGGAGTGCTGCTTCAACGCAGATTGCGACTTGTCGAAGACCGATGGGTATCTCACCTCACTCCACTTGGTCTTGTGGTTTTTGGGGTGTGCTTCATTCTCCTCGACATTCTCCTCCAGCCTTTTCAATGTCATTATGTGCTCTTTCCCTTTGTCTCGCGAAGTCGAAAGTTCCGTTGTATTGTCTTCGACTTGCTTCGACGTTTCCGAGCCGTCGTGATAGTTCGACGGCAGTTTGTATCGTTGTGTAATTATGCCGACATTCTCCAGGTCACCCTGTTCGATCTTGTCATCTTGAAAATTCTCTGGTCGATACTCTTCCGACTTCTCTTCTGCTGAATCCTTGATTTCTTCTTGTGACAATTGGGAAATTTGTTCAGGGGAAAGCGATGTCGCTTGATCGAGTTCGTTTTTCGCTGAATTTCCGTCCGTCGTCGTGATATGCTCATTATCAATGTACGGTATCATCGTCATTATAATCGGAGTGTTCTCCTTCAGAGTCGAAACTTCATCGTTATCCGAATAAGTCGTTGTTATCGGCGCTGACATCGTCCACACAGGGAATTCGGTTGTGACGGACGTAACGTGTGACAGAACAGAGACTTCGCTATTCTTCAGCATCTCTTCCAGGAAATCCTGCAGCAGCAATGTTTGCGTTGCCGGTGCTGCAGTTGTGGAAGTCGTAGTGATGGTCGTTGCGATCGGTTGGGCAGTGGTAAATTTTGACTCGCGAATCGGATTATATTTATATCGATCTTGAACCAAGCTATTCACCGCGGAGTTAAAATGTTGTGATTCGGCGGTGACGAAATCGTCCACAGCAGGTCTTACTCGCAGGCGGACTCTTCTCCTGCGAGTTCCTCCCTGAAAAAGGGATTTTTGAATTTTTAATATTTGTCTTTTTGGAATCCTCCTTCAGAATTAAATTCTGTCGAACTGGTCAAGAAAATAATGTTGCATTTCATGTAAAATCCAAAGTTCTAGAAAAGAGAAGCCAAACTTCCACAAATCTTTAATCCTATTTTGTAATATTCGAAATTTTAAATTACTTTTTAATAAAATTGTAACTATTGATGCATAGATTAAAGATATATAGGATATCCAAAAAGTTTTACCGGACCCGTAAAATATTTCGAAAACAAGACATTTTAGAAAAAATATTTCATACAAGAGTTATGTGATTTCAAGGAGAACATAAAACTGTATCAATTTATTTACAGATGACATCACTTTCAAGATATTCACTGATCATTACTTTCCTTAAATGGAAATTCCAATTTTTTATTTTATTCTATCATCTTTTTCTGCCAATTAATTTTAACAACTTTTGTTTGAAACATTTTTTTATTTACCTAATATTTTTTGAAACACTTAAGGAAAATTTGATAACTTTTCCAATGTTTAACTTACGATATCTCGCTAACTGTTTGTCCGAAGAAAAAGTACTAGTCAAAAGTCAGAAAAAAGTCAGAAGAAAAGTATAAATAATATCATTAAAATCCTTACAAGAAACATATGAAGAAGTTTCCAATAGCTATCGGCCAATTCTGCTAGAAACATTTTTTTATTTGCCTAATATTTTTTGGAATATTTAAGGAAAACTCTTTCAATATTTAACTTACGATATCTCGCTAACTATTTGTCGAAAGAAAAAATAATACTAGACTTTTTTACTCTATTTGGTCTCAAGAATATATTTTTATAATAGCGCCCTGACTTTGGTTAATTTGATGATTCTAAAATTTCTAAAAGTCGATAAATTAACAAAAGTTAGGGCACTATTGTAACAATATATTCTTGAGATCGAATAGAATACAAAAGTCTAGTATTATTTTTTCTTTCGACAAATAGTTAGCGAGATATCGTAAGTTAAATATTGAAAGAGTTTTCCTTAAATATTCCAAAAAATATTAGGCAAATAAAAAAATGTTTCCAGCAGAATTGGCCGATAGCTATTGGAAACTTCTTCATATGTTTCTTGTAAGGATTTTAATGATATTATTTATTTCGACAGACGTATCTTTTTAAGCCATTTTCTTTCAAATAGTGAGACGAATTATTTTGATACTTATATATTAGGTTGGTACAAAAATAATTGCTGTTTTTACATATCGAGTACAAAGACGTATATAGTTAGTATCAATTATCATATCAGTATCAGTATCACGTAACAGTTAAAAATGATATTTATTAATCAAAATAGAAACTATTGGCCTGCATACATTTCTTTCACGAGAAACAAGTTTATTTATTTCTACAAGATAGAATTCTGGAAAAGATAACGGTAACTCTAAAAAAATCGGTACCAAATTAAAAATGATAAAAACCACAATTAGTTTTGCACCAACCTAATATCCACTAAACTAATATCTTTAACTTTACTCATAAATAGCTACAATTTTATCAAAAAATAATTTAAGATTTCGAATGCCGCAAAATGGAATTAAATTTTGCTGCATTCTTTCAGGTACAATTAGAAATTTCAAAAAATTACAAACAGCGAAAGCCACTTTTTAAGAACAATTTCAGCATTTGAATTTTAAGCGTAATTTTCCTGTTTCTGAAAATATTTTCATTGAATTCGATTGTGTCGATTTAATTCGTACCATTTTCGTCCCATCTCCAAGCACTCTCAAAAGAAAATATGATCGCTTTAGGTCATCTTGTGTATTTTTGTCTCTATATTTTTATTTAATTATAGCATTTTACCTTTTTATTGGGAAGGGGTTTCGTAACTTTCTTCGTCGTTTCCGCGATATCATCTGTCTGTTTCGCGATGTTACTTTCTTTATTTCCCACCCAGTTTCGTGCTTCCGACAACACGTCTTCTTCACTCTGAATTATATCATGAAGTGCCCTTATCGATGAACTTGCCATGGCAGTCGTAACATTCCCTGTACGTTCTTGTACGTTCGTCTTTCTTCCGAAAATGGCGGTCTCCATCGTATCCACGTCACCGGCACTGTCTGTGTGCTTCTGATAATCGGACGAAACTACCATCGTCACGAAAGACACATCCGGTCCAGCTGTAATGATCTCAGGCGCATTCTCGTCATTCCGATCGTCATGGGTCCTGCCGCGAGTTCTCTTGCCGCCATTAGCCGCGTGATTCGACGCGAAACTCGGTTGAAACGACGTTTTGGACAATTTCGTGGACCATTGGCTTTCGGAACCGTAAATATCGCCCGCAGAGTGCATGTTCGCGTTCTCCGTTGGATTCACGCGACTCGAGTGGCTATACTTTCCCGACGAGCTACTGGCCAGCTGGGTCTGATCGTATTTCTCTCGCTGCGACGCTTGTTCAGGCAGATTATCGAAATTCAGGATAAACTCCTGAGGTGGATACTGAAAGTACACGCAATATATTAAATGGTTTAGGACGATATCAAAATGGACACATTGCACATATGTATTTTTCTTCAGTCCTTGTTTACTGAGAAACATTTACTTACATTTTCGCCGGTCGTCTCCTCGTAAAGCTGAGGAGTTGGTCGATTCTGACTAGGTACGTATTGTGACGGAACCTCGAAGTCGTCCTCATAAAGAGTTTGCTGGCCTCCGGTCTCCGTGACCGTGACGAACTGTTGTGACGTGATTCGCGGATAATTCTCATCCAGCGGCAACTCATTATTTGCCTCGAGTACGGATTCTGTTGTGGTCGTGGTGCGCTTTTTACCTGGTCGGCGAACACGCCCACGCACTCTCGTCGTCTTTGACTCCTCCGGTCTCGGTTTTGGCTTCACCGTATATACCGTGTTGTCCAACATCGTCGTCGCGACGGGTATGACTTCTGTCGTCGTGCTCGTTGTCGTTTTCGTAGCAGGTCGGCGATTCGGAGTCTGTTGATATTTCGGACGATTTTTCAGAACGTGAGCGGGGCTCGACTCCACCGTCGTTTCGTCATTGGAGATTATATGTTGTATCTGCGAAAATCGATGAAAAATTATTCTTATATGATATTGGAAGAGAGTTTCTTCTCACATAGCATTATCTCGCGGTACCTACCTCAGACAAAGGAGGTCTATACGTGATGGGCGCTTGGAATCTAGTGTCCACTGGATGTGCCGGATGCACCTGCTGCACCGGACGGAAGTTCGGTGCTCTTATGAATCCGTAATCAACATCTTCTTCCAATGGGTGTACACTCGTGGTCGCGATGGTGGTTGTAGTCGGCGGTGTCGTAGTGGCGATCAACCTTTGCTGCTGCGCGGTATGTATCTTGATGTATTCGTTACCCTCAGTCTGTACCTGCGACCCATGACTTTGCGGGCGTACGCGCGTCCTCGTCCTCAATCCCTCGCGTATTCTGTGACTTGAGCCGCGACTGGAATCATGATTTACTGCATTGAAACGAACGTACTCGTCCTGAGAACCCCGGGGTCGCGTCTGGATCGCGGAGTCGTGATGACCACGACCACCTAGTCGACCTCGGACTCGTTGACGTATTATCACGGGCGCCGGAGTGGTCGTACTAGTCGTGGTAATCTGTAAAAAAATCAATTATTACAGTTTGTATGGAAGAAAACTCATAGATGTTTGGTAACAAAATATAAAACGTAAAATGTTACATGAAAAATTACTAATGTCTCGATAATCAATTAAATATGTATCTATTGGTTTGGCAACTAAATAATTGCAGATTTTTCAAGAAAATAAAAGACAATTTTTTCATGGAAGAAAATAACTTTATGCAGTAATATATTGTCCATTTTTATCAATGACCCTTTCCATATTTCAGGCAGCTTCATAATTCCACGTTCATAAAACTTCTGGTTTTTATCGACAGAAAACTGAACCAAGTGCGATTTGACATCATCATCATTATTGAAATTTTTTTTATTCAAGAAGTTTTGCAAAGAAATAAATAATAACCTGATGCTGCAAGGTCAGGATTATACGATGGATGTGGCAACACATTTCAAGCTCCAATAATTTATGCCGAGGGACCAAATATGTATGTGACCTTGCATTGTCATGGTAGAACACAATACCTTTTCGATTCTGGTCCTTGTCAATTCTGGTCGTTTTTCTTGAATAGCATTGTTCAGTTTGGTTAGTTGTTAAATGTATCTAAATCGATCGTTTGATTACGTGGTAAAATTTCAAAGTAGATAATTCCTTTGTAATCCCACCAAACTAATAACATAACTTTCTTTTGATGAATATCAGTTTTGGATGTTGTTTGCACTGATTCACCTTACTTGCTCCACGATCTTTTTCAATTGACATTGTTGTAAACAACCCATTTTTCATCGCCAATTATCAATCGTTTCAAAAATATCCTCATTTTCATTATGTTTCATAAGCAAATCGCAGATGGTAATGCTTTGTGTTAAGTTTCTTTAAGTTTATGAGGAACTTATAAATTGTTTTTTTACGTAACCAAGTTGTTTTAAACGCTTTTCAATGCATGTATGTAATATCAATATCAATATCATAATTCAATGCATGTATGTAAATATATCGAGCTTCTCTGCAATCTCACGTGTTGTGCTATGACGATCCGCATCGATTATTGCTTTGATTTGGTTATCATCAACTTCACCTGGGCGACCAGAGCGTTGTTTATCTTTGAGTGAAAAATCATCAGAACGAAATTTAGCAATTTTGATACTGTCGTTCTTTTAAGGCTTCGTCACCATACACAGCACATAACTTGTTGTAAGCTTGCGATGCGTTTTTTTCTTTGCGGAAGTATTGGGTGAGTGCAAAAGTGCAGAGTTTGTGAGTAAAAGTCACACAGTGATTAGGCAAACAAAAATCTTTATTCAATCAATGATATATTCTCCATCGTTTTCTATAATCTTTTCCCAACGTTCTGGCAGCATACGGATGCCTCGATCATAAAAACTGCGCGGTTTAGATTCGAAGAACGAAGAGACGCCGTTTTTTAAGGCCTCCAAAGAGTCAAAGTTTTTTCCATTTAAATAATTTTGCAATGACCGGAACAAGTGATAGTCAGATGGTGCGATATCAGGAGAATACGGTGGATGCATTAAGACATCCCATTTCAGGCTCTTCAGTTTGCGCAGCGTCTTTTTCGAAACGTGTGGTCTGGCGTTGTCGTGATGAAAGACGACTCCCTTGCGATTTGACATAATCGGACGTTTCTCTTTTATTTCTCGATTCAGATTGGTTAATTGGCGACAGTACTTGTCCGAATCAATCGTTTCGCCAGCGGGGAGAAGTAGTCGAAATAGATTATGCCCTTGCAATCCCACCAAACAGAGAGCATCACCTTCATCGGGTGCAAACTGGCCTTTGGCATTGCGTCACCATGCTCACCTGATTGTTTCCATGTCCGTTTGCGCTGAACATTGTTGTAGAGGACCCATTTCTCATCGCCCGTCACTAGTCGATCCAAAAACGACTCGTTATTGAGCCGCCCGAGTAAAGAAACGGCTGCAGAAATTCGCTTGATTTTGTTCTTCTCGGTCAGCAAATGGGGCACCCATATATCGAGCTTCAAATCGAATCCCATCTTTTTTAAACGCCGAAAAGCGGTTGATCGGTCAACGTTTAGTGCTGTAGCAACTTCTTCTGTTGAAATTCGCGGATTATTGAGCACTAAAGTACGCAAAACATCGTCATCAATGTCAGAAGGTCGACCAGAACGTGGCTCGTCTTCAAGGTTAAATTCTCCGCGCCGAAATTTAGCAAACCATTTTTCCACAGTTCGTTTAGCTGGTGCTTCATCCTGATAAACATCCTGAATGTTTTTTACGGCTGCGGCAACGTTTCTTCCCTTCCGAAACTCGTAAAGCATAACATGCCGTAAATGCACCTTATCGATACTCATTTTTAAAGTGATATTTTTCGAAGCAGTTTGTATGAAAACAAATGATTTTTTTTTTAATAACAGCTGAAGACGTCACCTTTCCAACGTTATATAATATATAGATGGAAGTATTAATGACAACACTTTACGACGCTTATAACTCCATCTATTGAAACTCCGCACGAACTTTTGCACTCACCCAATAAAAAAGCAAAATATGACGAAAATGCTCGTTTTGTTTTCTCATTTTTCAACCGATGCCAAACAAAAACTACACACAACCGATTGATACAATGCTTTTATTGAATGCTAATTGAAGTACTAACTACGTAGGCAGTCTGAAAAATTCTCGACCTCACACATACATGGCATTAGAAACTGTCAAACTATAATTGTATTGGAAAGTGGCATCCCTGATATAAACCCATGTAAAATTTTATTCGATCTGTCAAATCATTCGAATAGTAGCACCAGTTGAAAAAGGTTTGTGCAAGATGGATGCCCCATTTGCTAACAATTGACCAAAAACGCATTCGAATGAATATTTCTCAAGCATGTTTGGCACATTTTAATCGTTTTAAGCAAAATAAAATGGATTTCAAACATCGTTTCATAACTGTTGATGAAACTTGAATCCACCAGTATACACCAGAGCGAAAAGAACCTTCCGGAATCACACTTTAATGATGGTATTGAATTATTGGAAAGACATTGGAATAAATGTATTGAAGTTTCAGGAGACCATATTGAAAAATAAAACATATTAGGTGTATAAATGAATAATCCAATTTTTTCAGCTACATTCACGGTTTATTTTAAAAGAAAGTAAATTAAATTGTTCAATCAATATTCGCCGTTGCTTTCTATAACTTTAAGCCATCTTTCAGGCAGCTGATGAATTCCATCTCGGAAAAATGTTACGTCTTTGGTCACAATAAAGTCGTCAAGCCATTTTCAGATCTCATCCACTGATTGGAAGTGCATATCGGACAAGGCGTGTTGCATCGACTGGAACAAGTGATAATCGGATGGAGCAATTTCTGGTGAATACGCCGGCCGTGCTGCAAGATGTCCCAGACAAGACTCATTATGGTGTCTTTTGTATTGGAAGCAATGTGTGGCCTGGCGTTGTCATGCAACAATTTCATTGGACGTTCTCCTTTGCCAGTATACGGGCGTTTTCGTTCCAATTCTTGACTCAAGCAAATTAACTGACGTTGGTAGCAGTCCGCAGTAACTGTTTCACTCAGTTCCAACAACTCATAATAAAGCACGCCCTTGTTATCCCACCAAATGCAGAGAAAAACGTTCTTTCTGAAGCGATTGGGTTTTGCGACCGATTTTGATGATTCGCCGGGATTTACTCATGACTTTCTGCGTTTCGGATTGTCATAGAGTATCCATTTCTCATCGCCCGTAACGATTTTCCACAAGAAAGACTTTCGATGCTGCTTATTGAGAAGAGAAAGACACGTTGCCACTCGTTGATTTTTGTTGGTTTCAGTGAATTCATGCGGAACCCATTTTCCTTCTTTCTGGATCTTTCCCATCTCATGTAGGCGTTTGGATATCGTTTGCTGCGTTACTCCCAACTGTTCTGCAAGTTCTTTTTGTGTTTGTGCCGAATTCTCAGCGAGCAGTTGTTCCAAATTATCATTATCGCACTTCGGAGGGCCTCCAGGGCGTTGTTTGTCGATTAGACTGAAATTACCGCTTTTAAATCGCTTAAGCCAAAATGCGCACACATCGTACGATACAACACCTTCGCCGAGAAAGGAACAAATCGATTCGCACGCTCTTGCAGCATTTTTTCCTTGTTAGAATTCGTAAAGAATGCAGTGTCGGATATGCACCTTATCTGTTGCCATTTTCGACTGTACTGAACTGAATACTTTTGAAGGTTATGTCGGGCCTTTCGCCATACTATATGTTCTTTTTAATAGCTATATGTCGATATTGTATAATCATAAAAGAGCGGGACAATCTATTCAATTTAAAATTCATTTCATAACTGCTTAAAATAATTTGGATTATTCATTTGTACACCTAATATTTCACGGCAAAAAAATTTTCTTTTATTGTTAGGCCGAGAACTTTTCAGACTACCCTCGTATCAAGCAACAATATGGGTTTGACATTTCTAATACGTAAATACGAGGGTAGTCCCAGAAATACCTGACCTCATAAAGAAAACACAAAAAATTTGGGAAAAAATATCTTTATTTCTCTACATAGTCTCCTTTTAGCTCAATACACTTTTCCCAGCGATTTTTAATAGCTTCGATACCCTGTTTATAGTGGGAATCGTCGATCTCCTCAAAATAGCCATCAACCGCAGACTCCACCTCTTCATTGTTGGCAAATCTTTTACCGGCAAATCACCGAGCCATTTTTTCAAGTTTGGAAACAGAAAATAATCCGAGGGGGCTAAATCTAGCGAATAGGGTGCGTGAGGAAGCAATTCGAACTTTAACTCATTGATTTTGGCCATCGCGGTAACTGATGTATAAACTGGTGCATTGTTTTGATGAAACAAAACTTTCTTTTTCGCCAAATGCGACCGTTTTTTCTTGATTTCATCACTCAAACGCTACAATAAGTTCGCATAATACGCTCGCCGTTGATTGTTTTTCTTTTCTGAAGATAATCAATGAAAATTATCCCACGCGCATCTCAAAAAACTAACGCCATGACCTTGCCTGCAGATGGAATTGTCTTCGCCTTCTTTGGAGCCGATTCCCCCCTTTCAGTCCATTGTTTTAACTGTTTCTTCGTCTCAGGTGTGAAGTGATGAACCCATGTTTCATCCGTGGTTATGAATCGACGCAAAAACTCGGCTTTATTGCTGCGAAACTTCGCCAAACATTCGATTGAAACATCCTCACGACGCTGTTTTTGTTCCAATCGCGGCACCCATCTTGCGCACAGCTTTCTCATGTCCAAATTTTCAGTCAATATGCGATGTACAGCACTTTCTGAAATGCCTACCATGTCTGCTAACTCGCGCACTTTCAGTCGACGGTCATCCAATACCATTTTGTGGATTTTCTACACCATTTCTGGCGTAGTCATGTCATTTGTTCGACCACTGCGATGTTCGTCTTGGCAGCTCGTACGTTGGCAGCCTCGTTTAAACTCTGCCACCCAATATTTTACTGTTGTAAACGAAGGAGCAGACTCCCCCAGAGTAGAATCTAGCTCCGCTTTGATATTGGTTGGACTGAGGCCTTTCAAATGAAAGTATTGTATCAGATAACGATGACCAATTTTTTCCATGTTTACAAATTCACTGAGAGCATTCACTATTGATGGCTGCCAAACAAATATTAAACAACGTAGCGTCGTCAAACTTCAAACGTAAGCTTTATAAGGTTGGTACTTTCTACCATAGTCATTTTTTTCAAACAACAACTGATATCTATACGTCAGGTCAGGTATTTCTGGGACTACCCTCGTAAATTGAATAATAATCAAGTTTCTTTTTCTTTAGATTCCTTACATTTCTAAAATGTTATATCTATATTTTTATTTCTTCAAATTTTTTAGAAACACTTCATTAGATTTTCTTCTCACTAAATTTTATTATATATATACAGGGTACATGATTTATCTGAAGACATTGAAATATCTCGAGAACTATGCATTGGATAAAAAAAGTGGTTAATGAAAGTTGTTAGTCTCGAAGGGGGACATCCAATGATACCAAACTCGACCTCCCACCCCATCCCCTGGGGGTGGGGGTTGGGGGCAACTTTGAAATCTTAAATGGAAACCCCCATCATTTCTGGAGAATTGCGGAAAATATAATTTTTTGCAATTACAGCGCCATCTATCACGAATCAAAAAAAAAGTTTCAGACAAAATTTACGTATTTTGTGGCGTAAAATCCGTATCTGCAATAAAAAATGGGGGTTTCCGTTTAAGATTTCAAAGTTACCCCCAACCCCCACCCCCAGGGGGTGGGGTGGGAGGTCGAGTTTGGTATCATTGGATGTCCCCCTTCGAGACTAACAACTTTCATTAACCACTTTTTTTATCCAATGCATAGTTCTTGAGATATTTCAATGTCTTCAGATAAATCGTGCACCCTGTATAGTGGCGATTAAAAGTTTCGAACTAAGTAGATTTTTTCGATATTTTGAGCTTAGGAAAAATGAACAAAAAAAAGGATTAATTCTACATAGAATAACATGTTTTGTTATGAATAAAACGTTGTTAATAATAAAATAATAGTTAGAATATTTTTTTTATTTAACATAATGTGAAAGACGCTTGATCATAAGTATCGGGCGAGGAACTTTAAGGTACTTTAAATCACAAAATAATAATATTTTTAATATTTAGTAACCATTTCCTTAGAAATAATGACTGCTGTGCAACGACGTGGTATTGATTCGATTAAATGGATGATTACATCTCGAGGGATTTTTTTCATTCTTCACTCAAAATTTTGAATAAATCTCGTTTATTCGAATGTTTTTTGTTGGCTACTCGGCGACCAAGTTCATCCCAAAGATGCTCAATAGGATTTAAATCCGGAGACTGAGCAGGCCAATTTAAAACTTGCACTTTTTTGGCAGATAAATATTGTGATACGATCTTTGAAGCATGTTTCGGATCATTATCATGTTGGAAGATCCATCCAGGAGGCATATTATTTTTGGCATAAGGAAGCAATTGCTTGTTTAGTATGTCCTTATATACAAAGCGATCCATTACACCTTCAATTTCTACCAACGGACCCACTCCTTCATACGAAAAGGCTCCCTAGACCATGACTCCACTTCCACCGTGTTTCACTGTTGGTATTTGATATTTACAATCATATTTGGCACCAACAGGGCGTCGAACATACTGTTTTCCGTCACTTCCAAATAATTTAAATTTTGATTCATCAGAAAATAGTATCTTTTTCTAGTCCTGCACAGTCCAATCTTTATGATTCTCGGCAAATTGCAATCGAGCTCTCTGATTCTTTTTACTAATGAGAGGTTTCTTCACACCAATACGACCGAAAAGCCCAACGTCCCTCAGACGTCTAGATACTGTGATACGACTCACATCAGCAAGGTTCTCATCGCGTAATTCCTGAGCAATTATACCGGCAGACTTCCGAACGTCAATCAAAGATTTTTTTCTTAATAATCTGTCAATCCGTACTGTTGTTTTCAGGGGCCGACCACTTCGTGGACGATCAGCTATATTTCCTGTGGTCTCAAATTTATTGATAATATTATTCACTGTTGTTTTACCTATTGATAACAACGCCGAAATTTCTCGCGATGTCTTGCCTTCTCTTGAAAGCTTCACAACAATTTTACGCAGTTGTATTGCCGTGTGTGGTGACATGATGTTCACTAGACGAATTGTTGCGTACCAATGTAACCATTTCAGTGTCGCAACACTCTCAATATAAACAAATACATCATTAGAGGTCATAGTTATAACTTGGCCCGATATTTTTGAACACGCAAGTTAATGTATTCCGGGAATAATGAAGTAAATAAATATATTCCTATAGCTTAAACTACATTGATTTACTACTAAAATTAAATATTTTTATGATAGTCAAGTACTTCTGATTTTGCTGTTATCGTTTCTCGAATATTGCAAAAAAAATATTTGGCCCCAAACTTTTGATCGCCACTGTATATACAGGGTGTTTGATAGCTGATCATGCAGACGAAAGTTGGAGATAGATTGGGTGTAGCCGAGAAGAAAAATCATGTACCATAATGTCAAATTGGCAATAGTTACCGAGTTATTAATTAAAACATGTGAGCCAACGAGCGCATAGAGAGCGGAGGGCGGCCGCAGTAAGTACGTAGACATTTGATACAGGCGGAATCAATGAGTGTCGGTAGGCGAGCGCGCGCGGCGAAGGGCAACGTAAGCGACAAGAGGCGATCGCGCGCGACGAGGAGCGAGCGAGCTTTTTCTTTATAGCTTTTTCCTTATAGCTCGCTCCTCGTCGCGCACGCTCGCCTCTTGTCGTTTACGTTGCCCCTCGCCGCGCGCTCGCCTATCGACACTCATTGACTCCGCCTGTATCAAATGTCTACGTGCTTACTGCGGTCGCCCTCCGCTCTCTACGCGCTCGTTGGCTCACATGTTTTAATTAATAACTCGATAACTATTGGCAATTTGGCATTATGGTACATGACTTTTCTTCCCGGCTACACCCAATCTATCTCCAACTTTCGTCTGATGATCAGCTATCAAACACCCTGTATATACAGGGTGGGGAGTTATAAGTTTACACCCCGAAGTGTGAAGGTAGATTGGGTTAAGATAAACATAAAAGTCCCATACCGTTTCGCGAGATTCGCAATAATTATCGAGTTATTAATGACAGAAATTTGAGGAATGGGAGCGCGCCGACATAGATGATTGGAGAAGCGTTGCAGCTACTCAGGCCACAGCGCGGCCCACTCGACCCAGCAACTATTGGCGGCGTGCGGCGAGACGTAGCACAGTGGGACAAATGGGTCTTTTTGTGGACAAAAATCGCTAGACGGCGTAATTCTTAAGGGGTAACACTACTGTAGAATTTTCAGAAAATAAATTTTTTTTTATTGGCTTAAAAAATGCTTTGAACCTTCTAAAATATGAGGCAAAAAGTCTAATCCCTGAAAAAAAATTTGTTCTATGGAATTCCGAGCTCCTCCCCTAGCGCCTCGAATGACCCGAAACGGCCTATCTGCGCCAACTTGATACCCGCTGAGAAATAATTCTGAGGTGCAAAAGAAAGAATGCATTGATCACGTGCAGAATAGAATGGGGACCCGATTGAGAAATTAAAAAAAAAAGGTAAAAGGCGGAAATCGGTGGAAAAGGTAAATTAATTGGCAAATTAATTGGTCAGTTGACAATTTATTATGGTTTAGCCATACGTCGTAATCCGAATAGTGTGAAAAAATGAGAAATGAAATCTGGGCGACCTTATTTCATAAATTGTCAACTGACGAGAATCCGCAGCACGATAAGTGCTCAGAGTCTTGGTGCAATTGGAAGAAGGCGCAAGCGGCGAATTCATTGGATACTTTCCACCATAAATCGCCACTTTCACAGGAAGTTTTCAAGGCAATTAAACCGATTTATGAGGAGCTGAGCCGAGAAGAATTATTAAACCGTTGCTTAGGAGGTTATACACAAAATAGCAATGAAAGTTTCAATGCTGCAGTTTGGAATTTGGCTCTAAAATCGTATTCCAGCGGCAACAAAGTCTTGAACATAGCGACAGATATTGCTGTGTGTGTTTTTAATGATGGTGTGACGAATATTCTACAGATTATGAAAGTTATGGAGATGGACATTGGTATCTAGTCATACAATTTTTGCATGGAAGCCGATGCTAACCGCATAAAGTACGCTGAGCTGTCCTTGTCAGATGCGGCAAAGAAGGCACGTTCCAACTTAAAATCGGCCAGGAAACAAACTGAGGAGGAAAATTTGAACTTGGAAGGGCAACTTTATCTTAGAATAGCAGATTAATGGTAAGAGTTTTCTAAAAGTAGAATTTTTCATTTGTTCATGTCTATAACACATTTCAAAACTTCAAACGCGTTTTTCTTGAAATATGATTTTTCAAAACGGCACGCAGCATAACTCCAACAATTTTCGATCTTTCCATTTGAAAATTTAACCACAACTTTGAAATAACATTTCAAAGTGAACCACATAGGGGATTTTCGATTAGTTAATTTAAACAATATTTATTAACAAATGACCGTCCTTTCTTTGGTGAAAATTGAACGACTTTATTCAAACACTCGCCAATTACACAAAAATCAATATTTCTAAAATCCCCTACGTGGTTCGCTAGTTACACTCATGTAGATTAGATAGATTTTTTTTCTCTTTTCCAGATTCAAATTGGCACCAGTTATAGTGCGTGCCGCAGATCGCCTCAAATTCAACATGCCTCGGGAGAATTGCTGCAGTGTCGCCATTTTGTAATATTTTCCTACAAAAATTTTTTATAATATACTTAAATATATGCTCAATAACTACCCCAAGTATTATTTCTTTATCACCTTTCCTTCCGCCCAAAAAAAATTGTCAAAAAAACGCTTTCTTAGTCCGTTACAGTAGTGTTACCTCTTAACCGTTTTCATGCTTTTATTTTTAATTTACTTGCGATGAATTGCTCTACAATCGTATCGAGCCCATTTTTTAAATTAGGCCCTCAATTCAAAATGGCGGACGTGCAAATTTGTCAAATGTATAAAACCTGTAAAATATCGAATATTTTTGGATCGGACAAAGTTTATACAGGCTTTAAGGCCTCCGAGATACATATGTAAGATCGAAATTCTCAGTTTTTGTCAGTGGAGAGGATCTGCAGTGGCCCGATATATTTTATACCTGCCTGATATCCCCACATTATCAATGTATTCTACTAATGAGTTTGCATATATATATTGCATATATATACAGGGTGTCCCATTTAACCTGACAAATCGTAATATCTGGAAAACTACATGTTGGATCAAGAAAAGTGGGTAATGAAATTTATTCGCCTCGAAGGGAGACATCCAATGATATCAAACTTGACCTCCCACCCCACTCCCGGAGGGTGGGGGTGGGGGGCAACTTTGAAATCTTAAATGGGAATCCCCATTTTTTATTGCAGATTCAGATTCTACGCCACAAAATATGTAAGTTTCATTCGAAACTTTTTTTCTTATTCGTGATAGATAGCGCTGTAATCGCAAAAAATTAGATTTTCTGCAATTCTCCAGAAATGATCATTAGATTGAAAAATAAAAAAATACCTGTTCAATATTTTTAAAAATATTTTTAAAAAACATAATAACAGTTATTCCCCCCTATCCCCTCGGGGTAGGGTGGGTGGTAACGTTTAAATCTCAAATGAGAACCCACATTTTTCATTGCAGAATTAGATTTTAAGTGAAGTTTTTATGGAAACAATTTTTTTCATTTGTGATAGATAGCGTTGAATTTTTCCGAGAAACTACTTTTAGCATTACCCAGGAACAATGACGAGGACGTAGTAGCGTTCTATTCCCTTCGGGGTGCTTGTTTTAGGTGAATCCCCTCACCTCTCACCATCGGGGTGCTTGTTTTAGGTGAGTTCCCTCGCCTCTCACCATCGGAGTGCTTGTTTTAGGTGAGTCCCCTCGCCTCTCACCATCGGGGTGCTTGTTTTAAGTGAGTCGCCTCGCCTCTCACCATGTGCTTGTTATGCAAAATCACCCCGATGGTGAGAGGCGAGGGGGCTCACCTAAAACAAGCACCCCGAAAGGAACAGAAAGTTACTACGTCCTCGTCATTGTTCCTGGGTAACGCTAAAAGTAGTTTCTCGGAAAAATTCAACGCTATTTATCACGAATGAAAAAAATTGTTTCCATAAAAACTTCACGTAAAATCTAATTCTGCAATGAAAAATGTGGGTTCTCATTTGAGATTTGAACGTTACCACCCACCCTACCCCGAGGGGATGTGGGGGAATAACTGTTATTATGTTTTTTAAAAATATTTTTAAAAATATTGAACAGCTATTTTTTTATTTTTCAATCCAATGATCATTTCTGAAGAATTGCAGAAAACCTAATTTTTTGCGATTACAGCACTATCTATCACGAATAAAAAAAAAAGTTTCGAACGAAACTTACGTATTTTGTGGCGTAGAATCCGAATCTGCAATAAAAAATGGGGATTCCCATTTAAGATTTCAAAGTTGCTCCCCACCGCCACCCCCCGGGAGTGGGATGGGAGGTCGAGTTTGATATCATTGGATGTCCCCCTTCGAGACGAACAAATTTGATTACCCACTTTTTTTGATCCGACATGTAGTTTTCCAGATATTACGATTTGTCAGGTTAAATGGGACACCCTGTATATATATACATATATACAGGGTGTTTGATAGCTGATCATGCAGACGAAAGTTGGAGATAGATTGGGTGTAGCCGAGAAGAAAAGTCATGTACCATAATGTCATAATGTCATAATGTCAAATTGGCAATAGTGACCGAGTTATTAATTAAAACATGTGAGCCAACGAGCACGTAGAGAGCGGAGGGCGGCCGCAGTAAGCACGTAGACATTTAATACAGGCGGAATCAATGAGTGTCTGTAGGCAAGCGCGCGCGGCGAGGGGCAACGTAAGCGACAAGAGGTGATCGCGCGCGACGAGGAGCGAGCGAGGTTTTTCTTTATAACTTTTTCCTTATAGCTCACTCGCTCCTCGTCGTTCGCGCTCGCTCGCTCTTCGTTGCGCTCGCTCGCCTTTTGTCGCTTGCGCTCGCTTGCTCTTCGTTGTTCGCGCTCGCTCGCTCCTTGTCGCGCGCGCCCGCCTCTTGTTGTTTACGTTGCCCCTCGCCGCGCGCGCTTGCCTACCGACACTCATTGAATCCGCCTGTATCAAATGTCTACGTGCTTACTGCGGCCGCCCTCCGCTCTCTACGTGCTCGTTGGCTCACATATTTTAATTAATAACTCGGTAACTATTGCCAATTTGATATTATGGTATATGACTTTTCTTCTCGGCTACACCCAATCTATCTCCAACTTTCGTCTGCATGATCAGCTATCAAACACCCTTTTTGAGAACCCTGTATATATACAGGGTTCTCAAAAAGTCTTCGAACGATAAAATATCTCGAGAACAATTAGTTTTTGGAAAAAATGTTTCAGGCAAAAGTTGTAAGGTTTAAAATGATCTATTTACTGATCTTATCAGTTTGACCTTGGCTAGCGTCAACAAGGTCAGGGCAAAGTCACCTTGAACTTTTCAAATGGAACGCCCTACTTTCTTTGGCACATTCTTATAACAGATTTCAAGAGCTTTCCAAAACACTACAATAAAGTATTTTTTTGTTAAGTACATCCCGAGTTATGAAGCTTAAAAGTTACAGTACTGTCGGCATCAGCATTACCCAAGGTGTACCGCGTGAAGGTTGCACGATCGGATTTACACCTCTTGTGTGTGTGTGTGCATGTGTGTGCGTGTGCGTGTGTGTGTGTGTGTGCGTGTGCGTGTGCGTGTGTGCGTGTGTGCGTGTATGCGTGTGTGCGTGCGTGTGTGTGTGCGTCTGCGTGTTTTGTAACAGAAACAAGGATCCCACGGTTCGTCACTCCCGTAGTATTTCATGACTCCAAACCTCATTGTCAAATGGTATAAGGAAGACAATTTGAACATTTAATTAATTGAAAAATGTTGCACATCTTAAAAGGTGAGATAAAGTCACTTTATACAACAGAAAGGGTTTGGAGTCATGAAATACTACGGGAGTGACGAACCGTGGGGTCCTTGTTTCTGTTACATAACACGCAGACGCACACACACATACACACACGCACACACACACGCATGCATACACACACACGCACACACACGCACACGCATGCACGCACGCATGTACGCATGCACGCATGCACGCACGCACGCACGCACGCACGCACGCACGCACGCACGCACGCACGCACGCACGCACGCACGCACGCACGCACGCACGCACACGTACACGCACACACATACACATACACGCGCACACACACGCACACACGCACACACGCACACACGCACACGCACACGCACACACACACACACACGCACACGCACACACATGCACACACACACACAAGAGGTGTAAATCCGATCGTGCAACCTTCACGCGGTACACCTTGGGTAATGCTGATGCCGACAGTACTGTAACTTTTAAGCTTCATAACTCGGGATGTACTTAACAAAAAAATACTTTATTGTAGTGTTTTGGAAAGCTCTTGAAATCTGTTATAAGAATGTGCCAAAGAAAGTAGGGCGTTCCATTTGAAAAGTTCAAGGTGACTTTGCCCTGACCTTGTTGACGCTAGCCAAGGTCAAACTGATAAGATCAGTAAATAGATCATTTTAAACCTTACAACTTTTGCCTGAAACATTTTTTCCAAAAACTGATTGTTTTCGAGATATTTTATCGTTCAAAGACTTTTTGAGAATCCTGTATATGGAGAGAGAGAGAGAGAGAGAGAGAGAGAGAGAGAGAGAGAGGAGGAGGGAGAGAGAGAGAAAGAAAGAGACTTACTTCGATAAGTGGTGCCTGCGTAGGAGGAATATGCAATTCATAATCCTCTTGCTTGCTCTGCTGAAGCGGGACAAAAATCGGCGGATCATTCGGGTCGATCTTTACTGCGGTATTTTCGATCTTGCCGTCCTCGGATGGCGAGATCTGTTCGCGGATCAGATTCTGTCCGTCGGTGCTGTAATCCTGAGGCTGAGATTGCGCCACGTTGACTTCATAGATTGGCGAATATCGTTGCTCCTCGTCGGGTCTGATTTGCGAACCCTCCGTGTTCGGTAGATTATAATTAGCGTCCTCCAACTTGACCTGATAACGCGAATATTCCTTGGGTCTTTGGGGAATCGCCTGGTCTGGCGACTTGTCGTTTCCAATTTGATAATTGAATCCGTTCACGGGGGTCTTCTCGAGTTGCTCGAAAGCGCCATGATAGTGCGCTTCCTGCGGCCGATTTTGCGGATAATTTTGATTCCTGGAATAATCGTCGGACACCAAATCTGCATCATGTTGGACTATTACTTCGCGCAAGAGGTAGTTTTCGGTTTGCGTGGGTGTTGTCGGCAGATAACTTTCGCGAATGAAATCGCCCACCGCCCCGTGCGACGAGATCTCTTTCTGATGGAGATTGGAGGCGGGTATGTTCATTGGCGAATACGCGTCTGGAGATGCATTAATCTGCGGCTCACTCTGCGAGTCGTTCTGTGTCGAATAATTCTCGTAGGCGGCTTCTTGTTGAGTTTGATTCGGGTTTCTATCAGGAACCTAGATGAGTTTGCGTAAGATGTGAGTGAATGAATAACAAACTTAGCAGTTTATTTTTCTTCTTTCTCTGCGTTAAGATTTTGAAATCGATAGGAATTATTATTTCAATTCATACTTAGGGCACATAATTTCAAGCTTCAATCTTCTTTACACATCATCTATAAACAAATAAATAAGGGTAAACAAGGGTAAATAATTAGAATTTTATTATACCGCAGATTGAGGAGGACTCGTTCTGTCTCGATTCCTATATTTGTGTGTCCTAGACGTTGGTCTCCTATGTTCTACCGTTTTATATTTCTGCGTGGTTTCCGGTGTTTTCGCTTTCGTTGGTTCGTAAGAAGATTCTTGGTAATCTTCCGTAGTGGTCGAGAATCTCGATTTCGATCTGTTGTACGGTCTACGGGTTCTATCCGTGTTTGTCCTGCTAGGAACCGGAGTCGTTCTAACTTTCGTAGGTACGACTCTGTTTCTGTGCGTGATAAAATATATTTCTTCTGATACATTAACGTTACATTGATATTTATGATAAAATCAGGAAATGGTTACGGATCTTCTATAATTCCAGATATTTAACTTGAACAATAAGATACTTTCACGTTTTTTAGCACATTATTAGGAGGTTGAATTAGTTCTGGTCCCTAGCTTAGCTGTAGTAATAAATTAATGGTTAGTATGAATGTTACAATCTGACAACACTGAAAGATTTGATATTTCTCTATGACATTTTGCGCGCTATTGTTACTGATAGTTTCATTATTTATACGAGTCTAAAATGAATCGTACAAAATTACATTTTCGACATTCATTACTTTTTTTTTGTTTGATTTGAACAAGTCGGCAACTGAAGCTCATGAAATGTTACAACTTACGATGATCAAACTCCATCATATTCCAAACGTAAATTTTGGTTTCAACAATTCAAAAGTGGTGATTTCAATTTGAGTAACAAAGAATGTACTGATCAACGAAAAAATTCGAAGATTCTAAATTGCAAGTATTATTGAATAAAAACACCGCTCAAACGGAAAAACAATTGGCTAAACAACTCAACGTCGATAAATCAACAATTTCTAAATGCCTACATGCCACCCATGGCATTTTTCCCAAAAAATTCGAAAGGAAGGCAAATGGGTTCCACATGAATTGAGTGAAAGTGCAAATAATTTAAATATCGTCATGTTTTTGCTTGCCAGATAGAAAAAAAGAGTTTTCTCTGGCGAATTATAACTGGAGATAAAAAGTGGATTTATTTTGATAATCCAAAGCGAAAAGATCATGGATAGAGCCAGGACAACCATCAACATCGACACTAAAATGAAACATTCATGGTCACAAAACAATGCTCTGTGTTTGGTGGGATATGACAAGTGTGGTATACTATAAGCCTTCAAAACCGAATTAAACAGTTACGGGGAAGTGATACCAGCAACAACTGAACAAATTGAATGATGAATTGATGCAAAAAAGGCTAGCAATACCCAGCCATAAACGCTAAGTGATTCTTTTGTATGATAATGCTCGTCCACATGTTGTTTTAATCGTTAAACAAACATTGTTAGAGTTCAAATGGAAAATACTTTCGCACCCAGCGTACTCTCCAGACTTATAGATACCTATAGACCTATAGATCGGAGATAGTAATTAGATGGTACTAGTACCATCACGTACCAATACGTGTTGGCAGATACACACTTTAATAATTACGAGGATGTGCAAAAATCGATGTCTGATTGGATTGCTTCGAAAGATCATGTCATCATCGTAGAATCGCTATATTGCCAGAAAGATGGGAAAAAGTCACAGCTAACGATAGAAAATATTTTGATTGATATAAATTTAACTATTACATTTTTTTAAATTTAATTATTACATTTTTTTAAAGAAAGATAAAAAATTGGCAAAATAAGACCAGAATTAATTCAATCTCCTAATATAATGCTTATTATCTCAATTATAAATAATAAAAACAGTGGATTAAATTATTAATGACTACGTCCATCTTGAATATTTTCCCGAAAAGAAATATTTCATAAATAATCTCACACACTCACACGAGATTATAGATATTACACGGGAAAGGCGAAGAGAATTAAACATTTCAAAATAAAGTAATAAAATCGTGAAGAAGGTGCGAGAAATTTACACGAACAAATTACAGCGCAATCGTATTCAATTTCACTCACCTGCCTCTCTGCCTGTAAGTTGTGGAGCTCACGCGAGCACTCGTCGTTAATGGTGTCGTAGTGGTGGTGGTCGGTGGTGGTGTCGATGTGACAGGCAGATTTCCCTCTTGCTTATCCAACAAGGAATTCACCAGGCCGGGCAGATGCGGTGATATCGGCGGTAATTCCACCGGTAAATTGTATTGTGCCGGTCCGACTGGCGCTCTAACGTCATTAACGTCGTATGCTTCAGCCAAGTTAGCTTGAGGACGATACTGTTCGGCGGTGTTGTATTTTTGAGACTCCCTTTGCTGGTCGAGTTCTTGATTGATGAGTGCCAATTGAGCTGCCAAATTTTGCTCCTTCGTGGACGGATCGCGCAAGCCTACCGTTCGGTCTTGGAAATTAGGTGCGTTGGAATAAGACACTTCCTGCCTGTAACTGGTCGTAATATCAACTTTGGGCGACTGAGTGGTCGCTTTGGGTTCGTGTTCGTAATATTGCTTTGTCTTCGGCTTCGTTTTCGTGGTAGACTGTTCGTTGTAATACGACGAGCTGACCACGGAAGTTGGTTTATTGTCGTAGAACTGCCTAAACCTAAACCTCGATCCCGAAGCCGGTGTCGAATAAGTAGTCTCGTACTTAGGACCGCTAGATTCCAGGTTGAAACTTTGAGTAGTCGGTGATTCATAAGACGTTGTAGTAGCTACAGAGCCGGCAATTTGGTCGGCGTCGCTGTAAGAATTCGGTTCGATCAGCGGCGTCGGGCTGGGATTTGGTTCGGTTGGCGGTGTGACCAGCTCCGGAGATGTTTCCGATAACGTGTTGACAACGACAGAGCCGATATGCGGCGCTGGGAAAGGAATCTTAGAGTAACCTGGCGGCGGATCGAAGCTCAATGGAGCTACGAAGAAAGGTAGCTTGTCCACTTTACGTTCGACCCTGTTATGATCGATCGATGACAGGTAGGGAAGGTCGAACTTGACATAACCGTAAGGAGGGTCCAGATTGGATGGGCCTACGAAGACTCGTGGTGAGTCTGGACCGACATTGTCTAATACGTCGATGGTTTTCGCATGCCTCAAGATTCTCAAAACATCAGTGACTTTGATTGTCTCCGGCTTGGAAGTAGCACTGCCCATATAAACAGAGAGAGGAGGTTGATTGGGAGACGGTGTAGTCGTTGGCTCGGGATAATTAGGTTGTTCTTGATACTGGTTGACTCTTTGACGTTGTCTACCGCGAATCCTCTTGGGCCTCGTGCCGTCAGTGAGTTGTTGACGATGCACTTGTTCTCGGATCAATCCTTGAGGCCGTTCCTCCTGACCGTTTTCCTGCAATTGGCCCAAGCCGGGTCTGGTAGATTGTAACTGATGCTCCTGTTGTTGACTCTCCAGGATAGTCTGCTGCTTCAGCTGTTCCAGATTCAGTTTCTGCCTTTCTTCGCGCTGCCTGGCTTCGTCTTCACGGCGTTTCTCCTCTTTCGTGCGGAGCTCGGCGAGTCGCCGTCGTTCAAGCTCTTCTTGCCTCTGCTTCTCTCTGGCCTCGCGAATCCGTTCCAATTCTCGTTGTCTTGCCATTTCCTCCAGCCTCTCTAATTCCTTTCGTTTCTTCTCGGCTTCCTTTTGCCGCAACAGCTCTTGTTCTCTTTGAAGAGCCTCCTGCTGCAGCCGCGTTTTCCTCTCGAGTGCCTTCTGCTCCTCGTTCAATCTGGCGAACTCTTTTACACGCTCCTCCTTCAAGAACTGCGCCTTTTCCTCGTGTTCCTTCTGGATCTGCTGCAGCACCTGTCGCGCGAAAGCTTCTTGATCTGCCGAGAGTGGGACTTGCTCTATGCTATCTTGATTCTCGCGCTGCTGATGTTGCTGCTGATATTGCTGTTTTCTTCCGCGACCTCCTTTCGGCTGCTGGCCCCTTTGCGCTAGCGTCTCTGCCGGAACGTATACCAGCTGCACCTGTGGAACAATTGCACTTGTGAAAACTCACGGATCTCAATGTTTTTGATTTCACGTGTTCCGTGACGGTCGAATTGAATCAATTAAAGTCTAGAATTTGTTCAACTACATAACATAACATTGTTTTCTTGCGAGAAATCGCCTGTTTGACTCCGCAAATGTTATTAGAAAACTTAACAAAAACGAACCAGATAGAATCTATTGTCTTCCAGGGTTTTTCTTAGGTAATACGCAGTTTTTACTCAGTGCACGCTCCAGTTATTTTCAATCTAACCACAACAATACTGACATGAAAATCAACCGGTGACACTCAATAAAAGATCATCACGAAGAAAGCAGTTTTGTTGTACCAACCTCCTCTTCCTCGTCCCCGGTACCTTCAATCAGAGGGAGTTGGGGTAGTTCTGGGCTTAGTTGTGTCCTTAGACGTTTTTCTCCGGGTCTTTGACCTTGTTTCGTCACATAGCTATGTAGACCTTCTCGCGAATCCTCTACGTTTACATCCTCACCGTGTTGCAACGCAACTTGGCCTTGGACTGGCAAACTCGCCAGTTCTCGATGAGCATCTAAATTTGGATCATGATGACTCGGTTGACGCACCTGCTCAGGTCTATGAGTCAGGAAATCTTGTGGAGGGTATATGGGGGGAAGAGCCTCCGAAGAAGGCTGCGGCGGAACTAAAAGTTCGGGTGCCGTTTGCAAATTGCCCAACGAGCTCGGTAGTAGCCTTTGCTTCTTGTTGTTACTGAAACCACTCGGCAGGAATGTCTGAGACTAAGAACGAAAGCGAAGTCAAATTGTAGGATTGAACGTAACGCAGTCGTTGCACAAGAAAGATCCATCACGTGAAAGTTATGATACTGAGATCTTTCTTCGAACATTTCTTCGAGCAATCTCACGAAGATGTTTTGAAAGTTTTTATATAGCAAATTCTAGTTTCGTGTATATTATATTACGAAAATAAGTACAACATTATTATGAAAAAAGATCAGTCAAACAACTCTCGAATCGAGCACCGAATTTAAGAGTTACGTAGGCGAATTAACTGTTCTAATTTCTCAGCAAAATTTTCATGTTGTTTTGACCTTTCGTTTAGTTGCTCAATATCCAAAGTTCATTAATACAGGATTATAATAATCTGAACCGAAAATAGAGCGTTTTACCTGAAGAACTTGTTGTTGAGCCCTGAGCTGTTGCTGCAACAGCAATAGTTTTTGAATGCTCTCTTGCGTTTTTTGCAACTGTATCAACTGTTCCTGATACTGTTGCTGAAGGACAGGCGGTAACGCGAGCGATTGGGTCGGATTTGATAGGTGCATGCCGCTGGGCAGCAGGCCGCTTCCGGCGTTGCCCTGCAACACCTGATCGGAAGTGGCCCTCGGGTTCGCCAACGGGATCCACTCGCTGTTGGATACCTGTCGTGACCATCGTTCAGCCGCGTTCCCATCGAATCCGCCTAACAACGTCAATACGACGAGTACCGTGGTCGGTGTGAAGCACCTCTGCACAATCTAAAAGCAACGATGTCGATTAATTGATCGCGACCTGCTAAGCGGAATGATAACAGCACGCGAGCGCACCATGTTTATCGTCATACGTTTGTCGTTAACATAAGATCGCTTTAGTCGACCGCAGAGTATTCTTTCGTGCATCAAGAATAAAAGACAAAACGCGGTAGCGCTTCGTATAAAAACTAATAAGAAAGCAACCGCAATCTCACCGCGTCTGTAGCACGAGACGAATAAATAAGCGCGCCACAAGTGTCTGTCACAGTGGACTGATGGTTTGGCGGCGAGTTTGGTTTTATAGCTTTTAATGAGATTCGCGGTTTTAGGATAAACCCACAACGCTATTATCTTCTATGGAATTTATTATTTACTTCAGAATAAGAATAATCTCATTGCCGGCGACGCTCGTCGACGTTTCGTAAGACTACCTGCACAAACTGCAGGAACGGAGATATTCGAACAGAATCGTTTCCTCATATTGCGGCAAGTTATTTCGTTATTTCCGCGAACACTGAAACATTTGCAGCCAGTGTTGGTGACATGGCGCTCCGGTGAATGTAGTCGGCCTTCCAGTCACCGGCATAAAAAATGTACACACGCGATTACTCGGAGTTCTCTAATCCATTTCACTGGTGCAAACGCGCTGATAACAGCGAATTATTGTATTTCAGCTTGTATATTTATCTTCACAATCTTCACAAAAAATAACTCTTTTGCGAAAGATAGTTGGAAATTTTTCGCAAACTTTTTACACTGGCGGAGAAGAATAAAATTAATTGTTCCACAAAGTATATTTTGCAAAATTTGGAAAGTTTTAGAACTTAGTTGGATCTTAGAACTATTTCATTTAATACGTAAGCAGTCTGAAAATTTCTCGGCCTAACAATGAAAGAAAATTTTTTTGCCGTGAAATATGTTTTATTTTTCAATATAATCTCCTGAAACTTCAATACATTTATTCTAACGTTTTTCCAATAATTCAATACCATTATTAAAATGTGATTCCGGAAGATCTGCAAAATATCCATCCACGGCTGCAATAGCTTCGTCATTTGATGTAAAACACTTTCCAGCCAGAAGTTTCTTCAGGTTTGGAAACAAATAATAGTCAGAAGAAACCAAATCTGGTGAATACGCTGGATGTTCAAGCAATTTGTACTTTAATTATTGAGTTTAATTATCTCTCTCTCTCTCTCTCTCTCTCTCTCTCTCTCTCTCTCTCTCTCTCTCTCTCTCTCTCTCGCTCTCTCTCTCTCTCTCTCTCTCTCTCTCGCTCTCTCTCTCTCTCGCTCTCTCTCTCTCTCTCTCTCTCTCTCTCTCTCTCTCTCTCTCTCTCTCTCTCTCTCTCTCTCTCTCTCTCTCTGTCTCCCTCTCATTTCGTCAGAAAATTGGTTCATTCAACCAAACATATTTTCCGTGTAGCTTGAATAAAACGATAGGATACGATGAGTCTCTACGCGAATTCTATCATACTCTAACAATTAAATATTCTCCTAACGATAGAGTACAATAGAGTACGATGAAAAGTGTTCATCGTACTCTGTCTTTACGCGATATCATTTCTTTGGATCCGATGCAGCAAAACGATAGATTGCGATAGAAAACAATGAGAATTTTTGTAGATCTCATCGCTCTCTATCGCTTTCTCCTTTTCGATGTTTTCCTTGATCAAAGAACTTTTGAACCTTAAACTTTATAATTCAATATGAGCTGTCTGTGGTACCTCATAAAATGAATCTCGTAATTGTAATCGCGAATATTCAGCGGCCATTTCGGCATGAGCATAGACGTGGTGCGGCGGGATGTAGGAGCGGCGAGGTAAGGACATAAACATTGGCGCGTTGTCCTTCCCCTCGCCGCGCGCCGGCAATAGTTCCTTTGTCGACTGGGCAGTGCTCTCTAGCCTGAGCGGCTAGATGCTCCTTCCATAACGTTTCGGTGTGCGCTCATTCCTCTAATTTCTGTCATTAATAACTCGATAATTATTGCGAGTCTCATAAAACGGTATGGGACTTTTATATTTGTCTTAACCCGCTCTATGTCTCCACGAGCTCTGCCAGGTTAGTTATGAGATACCCTGTATGATATACAAGGTGTCCCATTTTAAAAAACGCACCTCGATCATTCTTTAACAAAACATTTTCAGCAAAAATGTTTCAGATAAAAGTTGTATGATTTCAAGGAGGACATAAAACAACAATACTGTTTTGTTTACAAATGGCACCACTTTTGATATATTCATTGATTATTACTTTTCTTAAATGGAAGCCTCAATTTTTTATTACTCCGTCTTTTTATACCAATTAATTTATACAACTTTTGTCTGAAACATTTGTCGGAAGAAAAAATGGTACTAGACTTTTCTGCTTTATTTAATCTTAAGAATATATTGTTATAATAACACCCTGACTTTTGTTAACTTATTGACTTTTGGAAATTTCAAAATCATCAAATTGGTAGAATCATTCATCATCATGGTAGAAAAGAGCTGTAATAAAAAATTGGAGTTTCCATTTAAAAAAAGTAATAATCAGTGAATATCTCGAAAGTGATGCCATTTGTAAACAAAACAGTATAGTTGTTTTCTTCTTCTTCTTCTTCAATAGATGGCTCTGTGCATACAATAGATGCTCCAACGCCACTCACACACCCAGTATAGTTGTTTTATGTCCTCCTTGAAATCATACAACTTTTGTCCGAAACATTTTTGCTGAAAATGTTTCGTTGAAAAATGATCGTGGTGCATTTTTTTAAATGGGACACCCTGTATATATATAATATATTAGGAGTACAAATAAGTTTCCGCCGTTTGACAAAAGATGGCCCCACCAGAAGGTTATGTTGAAATTGTCAGATGTAAAACGTAATATCGTAAGTTTGGACATCTGGTAACAACATAACCGTGAAGTATTAGTGACTCCGTATCAGCATCACATAATTTTTTTCGTGCGAAAATATCAAGTTTTGTGCCAAATAAGCGCCATTTGCGGGAATTTTTTATTTACTGCTTTAATTTGAAGAAATCTGCAGCTGAGGCGCATCGATTGCTTGTAGAAGCATATGATGAAACTGCTTTAAGTGAGAGAAGTTGTCGTGAATGATTTCAAAAGTTTAAAAACGGTGAGTTTGACATGGAAGACAAAGAACGTAGTGGAAGGCCGAAAGTGTACGAAGACACGGAATTGGAAGCATTATTGGAGGAAGATTCGTGCCAAACGCAAGAAGAACTTGCACTTACATTAGAAGTGACTCAACAATTTCACATTGTTTAAAATCGTTGGGAATGATTCAAAAACAAGGAAATTGGGTTCCATATGAACTGAAGCCGAGAGACGTTGAACGCCGATTTTGCACGTGTGAAATGCTGCTTGTCAGGCATAAAAGAAAGGGTTTTTTGCATCGTATAGTCACTAGTGATGAAAAATGGATCCACTACGATAACCCAAAGAAGAGAAAATCATGGGGACCACCTGGCCATGCTTCAACATCGACAGCCAAACCGAATATTCATGGAAAAAAACTCGTGCTGTGTATTTGGTGGGATCAGCTTGGTGTCGTGTATTATGAGTTGCTCAAACCGAGCGAAACCATTACTGGAGCTCTCTACCGAACACAATTAATGAGATTGAGCCGAGCACTCAAGGAAAAACGCGCTCATTACTACTCCAGACACGACAAAATTATTCTCCTACATGACAACGTTCGGCTACATGTTGCAAAATCGGTCAAAACTTATTTGGAAACACTTAATTGGGAAGTCCTACCCCACCCGCCGTATTCACCAAACATTGCCCCTTCCGATTATCACTTGTTCCGGTCGATGGCACATGGCCTCTCTAAGCAGCGCTTTACATCATATGAAGATACTAAAAATTGGGTCGATTCGTGGATAGCCTCAAAAGATGAAGAGTTCTTCCGATGTGGTATCCGAATGCTGCCAGAAAGATGGGAAACAGTAGTGGCTAGTGATGGACAATATTTTGAATAAAACGTAATGTACCGTTCTTTCACAATAAATTCCTAATTTTTGATAGAAAACGGCGGAAATTTATTTGTACTCCTAATATATATATGTATATATATATATATATATATATATATATACACACACACATACACAAATGGTTAAGATGGAGCAAAAAATTCAATTCCCAGTGTATGTGTGTGTATATTAATTCGTATACCAGGTGTGTCGGTAATTCCTTTCCGGTTTTTTCGCTAAAGAAAACACGTTATTTACAATGGATAGTTAAAATATATTTATTCAAAGTATTGGCCATTTGATTCTATACATTTTGCCCATCTCTCAGGCAATTTATGGATGCCTTTCCAAAAGAACTGTTTCTCCTTTGAGCTAAACCATTCATCGAGCCATTTTTTAACTTCTTCGAAATCGGCGAAGTACTGCTCTACAAGCGTGTGCCTCATCGATGCGAGAAGGTGGTAGTCGGATGGAGCCAGGTCTGGAGAGTACGGCGGGTGCGATAAAACTTCCCATTCAAGTGATTTCAACACTTCTTTGACTGGTTTTGCTGTATGAGACGGCGCGTTGTCATGCTGCAAAATCACCTTATCATGTCTTTGAGCGTATTGTGGACGTTTTTCGATCAATGCACAGTTCAAATTGATCATTTGTCGTTGGTAGCGATCAGTATTAACTGTTTCTCCAGGTTTCAACAGTTCATAATATACGACACCAACCTGGTCCCACCAGACACAGAGCATGGTCTTGCGACCAAAGCGATTTGGCCTTGCAGTCGATGGGCCGCCTTCGCCAGGTGATAACCATGATTTTTGTCGCTTGGGATTTTCGAAATAAATCCATTTTTCATCACCCGTTACTATTCGATGCAGAAATGACTTCCTTTCATACCTTTGAAGCAGCATTTCATTGACGATTTTTCGATTTTCCAATTGCCTGTCATTCAATTCATGTGGTACCCATCTTCCCATCTTTTGGATCTTTCCCATCGCTTGTAATCGTTCACAAATTGCTACTCGGC